AAGACCAAAATACCCTCACTGCCCTAGGATGCATCCAGTGATCCGTTTTAGACAGTTCATCCAGTTGACTGTATCTATTCACTATGATCCGTACTGATTTAGCCATTTTCCAAAACATGAAAGTTTTAGTACTCTATCTTAGCTTTTCAACGCCTCCAAGAACGCCTTAAACGGACTTTGGTAGCCTGAGATATGGCCATTTAAATGTAGTACAGTTAACTAGCCGGTTAGTTGGAAGTTGGTTCTGTGAATTGGGAATTTGACTGGGTTACACTGGAAATTTGACTAAGTGATCTTCATGAAAGTTGTAGGCCTTCGTCTTAGCTTCAAAACGGTATAAGTTACATCCCAATCCGATAAGCGTAACTTCGGTTGTGTCCGTTATGCAAAACTCTATCAAATCTGTCTCTTGTTAAACTTCATTTCCGCACTTGTTGTTAGCTTGATTTTGTCCTTGTATTGTCTTGAGCCTATTGAACGGCTATTGAAATTAGATTGTTGTGTGTGTACCTTTGGGTTTGAATGAGGAAAATAATGAAGCCATAAATGGCTGGAAATAGGAAAATACAAAGGGCATGCTGCCCAAATTTACGCTCGAAGACAAGAGAAATACACTTGCGACTTGGGTAAAGTTGATAAATGAATATCACTTGAACCATCTAGGACTTTTGCTACTTTGGTTATCGAGGGTTATACGTTAGAACCTAGCCGAACTTGTACCCTTAGGAAAAGCGGTAATAATCACAATAAATCCGTTTTCCTTGCACTTTCGACTCAAAAGTTATTTCCAAGTATACATCTTACAAAATTTTTCAGTTTGAAAGCGAGCAACTGTTTCACGACTATTTTCCAAGTGAATTTCAATTTCTTGATTCTTATTGAACGAAACGTCTACGTTTCGAACCTTAGTTGATTTTCAAAGTTCTTAAATCAAGTTTTATCGCATATTTGGACTCCAAACCCGGAGTACCACCCAGACGCGAACATTAGAGGCACTACTTTTGGTGAGTACTTCCAAATATCCGATTGCACTTAATACATGTGTTTCCTACTTGACCTACGTGATTACATGATAAATGATTGATAGGGTAAGGATGTACTTTACCGTACTTGCCCTAATATGACTTGTTCTTTTTCATTGATTACACTTGATTCGCTATACATATACATGAGTTATATCCTGTCTGGAATTCCAGAAACCCTGTGGCTAGTTAATCGAGTCGAGCCGGCAAGGATCTGGTCGATTAGATAACGAACCCTGGGTAACTAATAATGTCGAGTGGAATGTTATCTTCTCGGTTAATTGGTATACTCGAGTATTACCACCCGTGTTTCGTGTAACGTGCGGGCTCGGATAAGGGGGTTGATCGGTGGACGGAGACTGGCGTGAAGTGGGGTTTTCTTTCTGGACTAGTTATTACTTGAAAGTTGACGGAGTGTCAACTACCAATCGATCAAGCTGGGATGGAGCCGAGACATGAGCCACTGTATCCTTACATGTGAATATGATCCATATATTCTTGATTACTTGAAGTATTATCTTTTTGATTGGATTTGTTTGCTCACTATTTCACTATTACACTGTTATTACTTTGTTTGATGGCCAATTCGATATTTGGAACTTCACTGAGCTTTGGCTCACTCCGTTAGTTTTGTTTTCCTTACAGGGGTACGAGCAAGGCGTGAGACGTGTAAAGACTAGCGTAGTCTAGTTGTTTTGACTTTTGTCTTGTACTCGCGCTATTACTCGAATAGAATGTTTTGTATCTGGATTGTATACACTTTGAACCAGTTTGGGTATATTGAGGCTTTGTATCTTGATTGTGCATCAATGTAAATTATAAGCTTGAATTGCGATGTTATTTATGGTCCACGGATGTATGCACGTGATACGAGTGAGTGAGTTCTGGCGAGAGTTGGGCAGGCGGTCCACCGAACCCTTTGGTACGCCTTAGGGAAAGGTGGGGTCGTCTCAAATCACCTCACGAGCTACTAGATTCAAACTAATTTGTAAATCTCATCAATCTTACCAACTAGTTAAGACAATTTTTTAAACCATGATTGGAAGAAATTCTAAATTGAATCTTGGACTGATTCAATAACTTTTGAGCAATTTCAGTGATGTAGATGTGGGGTATGATCATGGTTCAAAGTCTCAGTCATGACTGATATGTCAAAACCGACGTGAAACGGTCTGAACCGCAACTTTGAACCATGGGTACGATAGTATCATTGCAATCTCCTAGATTTTTTTCCCCAGTTTTCTTCCTGAAAATACATGTCATTCTTTGTGGATATTACTCAAGGGACCGACCCACACGCAAACAATTGAAGTGCTGCCCAGGCTTCAGCTCCTGTTGCAGGGCCCGCTTCTCCAGCGGTCCCCGTTGGGCGATGCCCACCGGCTACATGCTTCTGTTCGTCTTTTTATTTTTTGGGGTATGAAATGAAAGAGGGTAGTATAATTTCATGGGAGTGCCTGTCGTTTTCAGTTGCTTAATAAAGCAAAAAGCTTTGTCTGATTTCTCCATTATATACCGATAATCAAAAGCTTTTTCTTCTAGTGAACTTCTGTCTTACGGCTTGGACTCAACTGTCAACAAACTCTGACTCATTCTTCAGCCAGCCAATAGAAACATAATATGAGAGTATTAAATTGCTTGAAATGCTCTAGTTTCGTGTTCTTTGTTTCTTAATCCAAAAGCTAGACTTCAGCTCCTAGTTGTTTATCTGAATATATAAATGGGAGTATTGGGATAGCAAGAATGATCAGTTCATCAAACAGGAATTTGGTAACATTTTCTTGTATAATCGCTTACTTTGTTGCCAAAAACTATTCTGTTTAGGGGGCTAAAGATAGACTAGGAGTTAATGAATCAATGAATGAATGGTGGGAATTGGGATGGATGGTTGGCAAGCAGATGATGGTGTTCGAAAGTCTTCGTCAAGACAAGGATTAACACGTTTCTAAGGGTACCTTTTTCCACAATATTTGAATAACAGGGCAGCATCTACACATTGGAACATTGGAGGTGGGGTTGGGAAATTACGCAATTACTTTGCTTGATGAAGCTGGGAGACAACTGTTTAGGTTGCAAATCAAGTTCAGTGAGACTTGGCAATGCAGCTTTGAATTGGGATCAGGACAGCTAACAGGAAAGAAAGGTGTTCGTTCCATCAAACCAGAAGAATGCAGTTTTGAATTGGCATCAAGACTGCTAACAAGAAAGAAAGGTGTTCCTTCCCTCTATTAAGAAGTTTTCCAAGCATGGGGGGATTATGCCATGGGTATGGGTTTGAAATTGTTCCGAGAAATGGTGGAAAATAAAGGCCTAATTTTCAAGTTTTTGTTTATCCTTAGCATGTGGGGAATTTATGAGACGGAGACATTTAGAAATCTATCGTGAACCGCAACCAACCTCCATTGTCTTTCATTTCTTTGCAAAACTTTGATTATTGGCATAATATAAACTAAGAAACTATATAATGAACAAAATTAAGCAATTCATAATTGTACAAAATGTTTATTGTGTATAACGCAATTAAAAGTTTATGATGTATATTACAGTTATAAAAACTCTGAAGATAGAAGATTATCATATTTAAGCTAAGTTGTTGGTATAACATTGACTAAAAAATCATATTATAAAAAAAATTAAGCAATTGGTAGTTGTAGAAAACATTTATTATATACAAAGTAATTAAAAGTTTATTGAACTATGAAGATGGAAGATTATCATATCTAAACTAAATTGTTGCATATTTTACTTGGATTGTGACAGTAAGAAGAGGAAATTTTTTATGTTGTATCAAACAAGTGTACACAATAAAACCTAAGCAAAATACATACTAAAACATTATGATTTGGGTACAACAAATTTTTATCAATTTTAGTAGTTGTAATCCTTTTCTGTTATATTTTTTTTATAATTATCCATAATTTTTTTGAAGTTTTCTTAGTCAATATGAGATAATATAATGAATTTAATCATCAATTTAACCTTTTATTTTCTCATTAACTATTTATAACCTTTTGTCTTCTTATTAATCGTGATTTTTTTTTCTAAAACAATATGTATATAAAATATAGTTAGCTTTAATTATCATGCATAAGAATATAATAATTGAAGATAATTTTAACACATACAATAATTGGAGATGAAGAAAATGATTTGTGACTATAGTTGTAAATGGACAGTTTTTAATTTTAATTACCAATATTTTTGAGATGTAATTTATTGAAACTTTTAATTTTTCCTATTAATGTCATGATTGAAATGCAATAACTCTAATTAAAAGACACGAGGGTAATTCAGGTATAAGAAAAACTAAGAAGAAAATATGCTTACACTTACACTCCTTATTGCCAAAACTCATCATCCTTTTTATATAATAATGAATGATAATGATAATGATTAGTCATTAAGTTATGAGACTGTTTTTGTACAAACCATATGGGTCCAAATTGCTTCATTTCTGAAACATAAGGGAACTAAATTTATTTTGCGTAACCTAAGGGATCATTTTAGTCTACCCTCCAAACATTGGAGTAAAATTGCAACTCTCTGAAACTATAAAATAAGATCTCCAACATTCAAGCAAGGCAAAGAAAGAAATATATGGACAATAATCCACTACATAGATTCCCCATGTAAATATAGATACTAAGCGTACAAGGCACGAAGATGAACAATTTTGTTGCCTAAAAGTTGCATCACACAATGAATCAAAGTCATCCGCATTTCAATTAAATTTTGTGGGGCAATTGCTCTGGCAACCGTGCAGAAAGTATCTCCAAGGACAGCTACACCTTCAAAATTTTCTCTCCAAGTGTCTTGGATAAAAAAGATTGAAAACTATTTTCAAAACTATCTCACGAAAAAAAAAACCATTAAAATTTGAAAAGCTAAAGAAAGAATGGTCAACGCCCCACAAAATTTCTGAAGCTTACTTGAGTCATGAATGTGATTTAGGTTCTACGACTCCCCAATCCGCAGGCAAGGAAATAGGAATCAAGACCCGCGGGAACAGAGGCGACGCAGGACTCAAGGGAGCAATGGTATGCGTGGCAGTTACGTGCACTTGTTTGTACTCTCGACCGAGTCTCCTGAAGCCTTTTTTTTTTCTTTTTTAGTCTAAGCGTGCATCAACAACATTTCTACAGCTCTAATCTGTCTTCTAGCTCTAGTTTTCCTGCTTAAACCGTATAAATGGATAGATCTTTTGGGGCAACGTAATCAAGCAAGAGAGATTCACAAAACCAAATAGTTGTACTATATAGAATTATAGATGCGGTGACCGATCGACAAGATGGCGGGTTTAACGTGGTTACCATTCTTAGCATCCTCACTGTTGATGATGGTATCCCTATTCCAGTCCTCACAAGCTGCAGGAGTTGCCGTCTACTGGGGTCAAAACGGCGATGAAGGAAGCTTGGCCGACACATGCGCCAGTGGAAACTATCAGTTCGTGAACCTGGCATTTCTGACAACCTTTGGCGGTGGAAACACACCAGTATTGAACTTAGCCGGCCATTGCAACCCCGGCGCAGGCACCTGCACCTCCTTAAGTGTTGAAATAAATGATTGCCAGAACCAAAACATCAAAGTGCTGCTTTCCCTTGGAGGTGCGGTTGGAAACCAGAGCCTTACTTCCGCCGACGATGCAAGGCAAGTCGCCAATTACCTTTGGAACAATTTCTTGGGCGGTCAATCACGTTCCCGCCCGCTTGGACATGCTGTTCTAGACGGTATAGACTTTTCTATTGAAAGCGGGACAGGCCTGTATTGGGACAATCTGGCCAGGGCGCTCTCTGGATTCAGCTCGCAGAAAAAGGTGTACTTATCTGCGGCTCCACAGTGCCCGTTCCCTGATGCTGATCTAAGCACAGCTATCAGCACTGGCCTTTTCGATTATGTCTGGATACAATTTTACAACAATGGGCAATGTCAATATTCGACTAATGCTGATAACCTGATAGCGGCATGGAACCAATGGACCTCAGTTCATTCCAATCAGATCTTCCTAGGAGTACCAGCAGCTCCAGCGGCTGCGGACGGAGGGTATATTCCACCGGATGCGCTCATTTCTCAGGTTCTACCATCCATCAAGTCCTCTCACAAGTACGCAGGGGTCATGATCTGGAACAAATATTTTGACAGCGGATATAGTTCAGCTATCAAAGGTAGTATCTAATTTAGTAGCATTGCTTGAGAATAAAATCTCAGAGACTTATCGTAATGCAATAAATAAAACTGCATTGTGAGGTAAGTTTTGACGATGATTTAGATATATAGACTTTGGATTATATACAAGGTTAGTATAAAGATTTTTTACACTAATAGATATAGTCGTATAGACATATGTCCCACGGCATAAAGTAAATTTAAAATTTGAACGGTGATATGTGTCATTCATCTAAACCTGTGCATTTGTGCATGCAAAAAAATGTTTACACTGACAGTGTATAAAAATTTTTACACTAAGAGCAGGTTGCTGCTTCTAGCCCTTCGATTGCTCCCGGCTCTGGCTCTCCTTCATCACCCGCCGGGCCTCACAGTGGAAGAAAGAAATCGAAGAATTTAAGGGTGAAGTTATATGTAGTTGGTGCTGCCATAGCAACTTCTCTAGCAGCTCTTGCATTACTTTTCTGGTGTTGCAAATTGCGAAAGAGAAAAGGTAACCATCGAAACTTCATGGGTTCAGAAATGCCAGAGCTTGATGACAATGAAGATGATGAATCACTGTTCTTCAGTTTTACAAGCATAGAAATTGCCACAGATCATTTTTCTGAGGAAAACAAACTTGGTCAAGGAGGATTTGGTCCAGTCTACAAGGTAAACTAAATAAACATTTCTTGAAGCAATTTACTTTTAAGTCCAAAAAGCCTATTTATTTGCTTAATTTTATTGTAAATGCATGGTTCAGGGCAAACTGGTTAACGGGTTAGAGATTGCAGTTAAAAGATTGAATAGAATGTCAGGACATGGAATTGAACAATTCAAGAATGAAGTCAAAGTAATCTCAAAGCTGCAACATCGAAACCTTGTTAGACTTTTGGGCTCCTGCCTTGAGAAAGAAGAGCGTTTACTGGTATACGAGTACTTGCCTAATAACAGTCTGGATTCAGTACTTTTTGGTATGTGTCAGAACTCTATTTACCTTCATTTATTTATCTAAGTTACATGCTTACAACTATCAGAATACTATGAAAATACTGGGATCTGCCTTGTTTACAGATGCAGCAAAGCGGAATATATTGGATTGGAAAAGAAGGTTGAAAATCATTGAAGGAGTAGCTCAGGGGCTTTTGTACCTCCACAAGTATTCTAGATTAAAGATCATCCACAGAGATTTGAAAACGAGCAATGTTTTATTGGACGCGGACCTGAATCCCAAAATTTCAGATTTTGGAACCGCCAGAATTTTTGGAGAGAATGAAATGCGCGGAAGTACAATGAACATTGTGGGGACATAGTAAGTTGAAGGAATATCTTCTTCTTTGTTGTTTTGCTCCCTGTAATATCCAATCTCTAATCTCATGCTTAAGCTAATTGAGATGATTACTTTTGCGAGAAAACAAGTGGTTATATGTCTCCTGAATATGCCATGGACGGGGTTTACTCCGAGAAGTCTGATGTATTTAGCTTCGGAATCATGATTCTTGAGATCATGAGTGGAAAGAAGAACACTTCTTTCTACGATTCGGATCGTCACCTGAACTTAATAGGACATGTAAGTTACCTGTACAATGCAGTGTTACTTGTGTCATTTCCTTCAGTCCAGTAATTTGGGAATGATCATTTGTCACATTCCAGGTCTGGGATCTATGGACAGAAGGAAGAATTTCAGAAATCACAGATTCTTGTTTGGATGAAACGGTCTCAACAAGTGACGCACTAAAATATGTGCACGTTGGTTTATTGTGTGTGCAAGAAAAGGCTGCAGATAGACCAACAATGTCGGATGTGGTATCTATGCTCCTCAAGGAATCAATGGTTCTCGCCACTCCTAAGCGACCGGCTTTTGCTGAAATTATGACTCTTAACAATACCAAGTTACCTCAAAATCCAGAATTTTGTTCTTTGAACGAGGTCACAATTTCAGATGTGCAGGGTAGATGATTATTTCTTGGCCAGGCGTGTATTTTCTTGCAGGGTAGAGAAAGGTGGGAAGCCGGCCGTATCCTCAAGTTAGGGGTGGCCACTGGAGATAATCAGTCTCAATTCTTTTGTGGATTCATTTTGGATTTGAATTTGATGACTAACTATTCAAGTAATCAATCATTATTTTATTTATTACTCCCTCCGTCCCGTTTTGTTAGTCTTGATTTTTTTTTCACACAGATTAAGAAAGTGTAATTAATTTGGTTGGAAACATAAATTTAGATTAATAATTTCCTAAAATACCCTTATGCTAATCACGAAGAGTGCCAATTAATATCAGTTACAGCTAATGGGTTAGTATTGGAAAAGTTCAATGTATTCAATGTAGTGGGTTAGTATTTAATAACAATGTATTAATAATAAGGGTATTTTAGATAATTTGAAAGATTACTACATTTCTTAATGGGAAAGTGGACTACAATTTGGGATAGACGAAAAAGGAAAACAAGACTATCAAAGTGGGACGGAGGGAGTAGTAATTTGGCAACCAACGCATTTAAGTGAGTTGAGTATCCCGGAAACTTGAAGTTCCTTGCTGGCCCAAAGTTGGAGGATCAAATCACCTAGCATGCAAATCCTACAGCCTGCAATTAATCAAATACCAAAAGTTATTTGTCATTAACAAAACAAAACGTGTTATCAGAACTTCTTCCAACCCCCCCCCCCCCCCAAAAAAAAAAAAAAAAACAAAACTGTTTGCTTTTGAGCAAGCCATATAGTGGAAACAAATTCTTTCATTTGATGCCCTTTCCAATCTAAGTTGCTAAGCCTGTTTGGATTGTCATTTTCTGTGAAAATTTTTTGGAATATTCTCTTGACATATATTCTAGTTACCTTTTTATCTCGCATACAATATATTAGTACACTAAAAAGTTGCGATCCAACCTAGTTATTACTAATTGACTACTACTATTTAATTTAATTTTTTACATATAGAGGAGAATTATGTCCTCTAGGAGGAGCAGTACTAATTGAATAGTCCTATTTAGTTTAGGTTTTTCATTACTACAACTACTGCCCAGTGGGCAGCAGCTGATGGCTCCAATGCTTTGAGCAATGAAGGACAATAAATGGTAGGAATTGGGATGGAAGGATAGCAGATGACAGTGTCCCGAAGTCTTCGTCAAGACAGGAACTAACGCGTTTCTAAGGCTGACTTTTTCCACGGTATTTGAATAACAAGGCATCATCAAAGTTACTTCTTGACAATGGAGGTGGGGTGATGGGAAATTACGCAATTGCTTCGCTTGATGATGGAGGGAGACAACTGTTTTGGTCGAAAGTCAAGTTCAGTGACATTTGGCAATGCAGTTTTGAATTGGGATCAGGACAGCTAACTGGAAAGAAAGGCGTTCTTTCCATCAATCGAGAAGAATACAGTTTTGAATTGGCATCAAGACCGCTAATAGGAAAGAAATGCGTTCCTTCACTCTATTAAGAAGTTTCCCAAGCATGGAGGGATTATGCTATCGTTATGGGGTTGAAATTTTTCTGAAAAAATGGTGGAAAAAAAAGGCCTACTTTTCAAGTTTTTGTTTAGGACTAATTGTAGAAATCTCCCCCGAAGCTTCTATGATTGCATTGGCCTCCCTCAAAGTTTTATAAATTTTAGAAACCTCCTCTAAAACAGGTTAGCTTGTAACAAGTCGAGCCCAATTCCAAAAAACAAACAATAAAAAATGAGTAAATCTTATATACACTCACAATGTATACACTATCATGTTGAATGCACGACACATTTGCAAAATTTGGATTTCAAATTTAAATTCGAATAATGTGTCATGCATTCAATGGTGAAACATGGCAGTGTATAGAAAATTAATCTATAAAAAATTGGGTTTAGAAGAGAGAGGACAATATGATTCAATAAATGCCTCTCATATATTATATTTGTTAGTTAATCTAGTATAAAAGTATGAATTGATATTTATACAAAGCCAAAAGTTAAAAGGTCTAAGTGTAAATGTTGGCAAATGCAAAGCATCAATTTGAAGTTTCTACAACCATTTTGCAACGACTCTTTGTAATATCTACATTTAGGATTACTTATACAATATCAGGAACAAACAATTGGAATGCAAATTCTAGAGATTTTAGATTCAATAATTGGGGTAGAATCACTAAAAATATAGCAAGAAAACTAATTTCAACCATGAATTGGAAAAACAAAATATGGCCTTTTCAGGCCTTAAAAAGGCTTGAACAAATATTGTAGTTGTAATTGCAAGTTAGAAATTTTTTTGGTTCTAAATAGTGATTATTTAGAAATTAGCACCCTTTTCTCATGGCAAATTAGAATTTTTTTAGTTCAAAATTTTGATTATTCCTATATATTCGGTTGATTACTGATTTAGTTGATTAAGTCTATGCAGCTGCCAAATACCTTGCAGGTTATAAGGTTACTACGGTCATTTCACCGGACCTGATGCAAAGATTGAGACCCAATTTTATGATAGAAGAGGTTTCTAAATTTTTTTTTTAAATCTCGTGAGAGTCTAGTGCAACGGTTAGAAACTTCCCTTGAGGTTTTTAAAATTATCCCTTTGTTTGTCCTTCGCATGTGGGGAATTTATGATGCAAAGACATTTAGAAATCTATGACTTAGTGAACCACCACCAATCTCTATTGTCTTTCATTTTATATTAGATTAGGTTCCGTTTGATAAAATTGAATCTGAATTCTGAAGTCTGAATTCTAAAATCTGAATACTGAAACAATTAATTTGCTGAATTTTAAGCACTAAAAAGAAATATATGAATGTCTGAATTTTAATGTTAAACCTACTTATACTATTTGATAAATATTTATAACTGAATGCTTAATAAGTTAAATTTGACAAATTTGCCCTTATAATTTTTCATCCATAAAAGAAATAGAATCTATGATTTAATTAGCTAAAAATGTTAGGTATGAAAATGATAATATATATTTTTAAATCAAATTAACATAAAAGATGAAATATATTATATGAGGAGTATGGAGAAGATATGAAAATCATTCAAAAGGAAAAAAAAGAAATAGAAAATCATTAAATAGAGAATATTAGATTGTTTAATTAGATAAGAATTTTGAATATAATTAACAAACAAGGGTAGATTTGGTAGATAAGATAAGGTAATTGAAGTAATTCTATTGTTTCTTATCAGAATTAAGCATTCAGTTAGGATTCTTGTGCTGAAAAAAATACACACAAGTTCAGCACTACTTAACAAGTTCAACAAATAGATTTTCATTTATCAAACACTCAAAACATCTGAATGTATGAAAAAATTCAGATTCAGTAATTTTTTATGTTATCAAACAGAGTCATTAAGATTATGAGACTAAACTAGTTTTTGTCCAAACCATAAGGGACCAAATTGCTTCATTTTTGAAACATGTGGAACTAAATTTATTTTGCGTAGCATGAGAGATCATTTTAGTCTACCCTCCATCTATTGGAGATCAAAATTGCAACTCTCTAAAACTACAGAATAAGATATCCAACATTCAAATAAAGAAAAGAAATAAATATATGGACAATAATCCACTACGTGGATTCTGTATATAAATTTTGGAGTAAAAACAAAAAAAGTCTCCCATAGTAAACTTAATACACAGAAAAATCTCTCGTGGTTTCAAAATGTACAACATGACACCTCATGCTTTTGAACTAAATTGTAAAGGTGACGGAATCCGTCAAACTTAATGAAAATGACTTATTGAAACCTTAAAAAAAAAGTATACCTAATTTTTAACAAATATACCTATTATACTCCTTAGTTCTCAATTCTCTCTCTTTAGAGAATAAAACAAATGATTTTGCTGAACTTTCTTTTGCTTAATTATATTAGGCCATTTTTGTCATTTCATCCATTTCATTAAGTTTAACGGATTCCATCATCTTTAGAATGTAGTTCAAAGGATGAGGTGGCGTGTTGTACGTTTTGAAACTACGAAGGACTTTTTTGTGTTATTAAGTTTATCACGGTTTTTTTTCGTTTTTTTACCCAAAATTTTGTCACCTAAAAGTTGCATCACACAATGAATCGAATTCATCAAAATTTCAATTAAATTTATGATAACGTTGCAATTGCTCTGGCAACCATGCAAAAAATATATCCAAAAATAGTTGCATCTTCAAATTTTTCTCTCCAAGTCGCTTACATATAAAAGATTAAAAACTATTTTCAAAACTACCTTTGGAGAGACAAAAAAAAAAACATTAAAATTTGAAAAGCTAAACAGAGAATGGTCAACGCCCCACAAAATTTCTCACACTTGCTTGAGGCTTGAACCATGGAGATGGATCATAAACTTGAGTCTTGAATGTGATTTAGGTTCTAAGACTCCCAATCCGTGGAAAGGAAATAGGAACCAAGGCCCGCGACAGCAGGGGCGATGCAGGACTCGAGAGAGCAATGATGTTAATACGCGTGGCAGTTAGATGTACAGGTGTTGTGAGAATGTTTACTATATGTATAGCACTTGTTTGTACTCCACCGAGTCTCGTTGGAAGATACTTCTTAGTCTTCCATGACTTATTTCTTTTCTTTCTATCCCCTTTATATATATACTAGTTAGGACGGCCTGCGCGTTGCGCAGGAGGGCGAATATTTCCCGTGTTAAGTTGCACAAGTTTTAATTATTGTATATTTGTTGTAGTATAGAGAATTATATAGGTGGTATAAGTTTGGCTTCAATTATAAAATAATAGTGCGGTAAATTGGTTGGGTGAATATAGTGTTAATAGTTTGTGAAGTATGAAGGATATTTTGTAATATAATAGTTAATAAAGTACTATAATTGAGACAATGCAGTGTCAACATTTTGTGTGGTATGATTTGTATAAATTATGTGGTTTGGGTGAGGTAATTATAAAGATACCTATTTATATTTATGTATATCTCTATTACTCACTAAGTTCTATAAATATGGGCCTATTTTTTTTTTTTGCACAAATTAAAACATTTAATCAATATAATCACAAGAATTGTTTTTCTTTCATATTTTTGTATATTGTCGCTCACTAATATTAGATCATTAATCCGCATTAAGAGCCATGTATTATTACATTGTTTTTGAAATTTACAGTACTTTAATTTTTTTAATGTAAG